GAGGCAGGAAGAATGACTTGAATCTGGAAGGCGGAGTTGTAGTAGCCAAGATCGCCGCGTACAGCCACTCCAGCCTGGGGCAACATGGAGCGAAACTCTGTCTCAAAAAAAAAAAAAAAAACCAAAAAAACTTCCTTCCTTTCATCTTACTTACCTTTGGTTCAAAAAGAAATGCAGGAAAATAGAGCCTCAGCTGTATGGTCAACTCTTCATCCTGAACCTATGTGCGGACTTAGGGCAATCTTAATTGATGTCAATGGGGAACAATAAAACTACTTGAAGGGCTTGTTTGAAGGAATAGAGACCACTGTAAAGTGACAGGTACTGGTGTAGGCGTGTAATGCCTTAATAAATAGTGAGTTATATAGTTTTCACTCTAACTCATTTCGCCCACTTTTAAACTGCTGATACGTAGTTTTTTCAGTGACTCTGATCCTTTTCTTCTGTGTTGGTGTGTGTTGTGGGTGTGGTGTGTGTGACGTACTTTATATGCATAATTGGCTCAAAACTGGAAATAACCTTTATGGGTGAGTTGTATCCCCTCGAAGTATGTGGAAAGTCCTAACCCCCCACAACCTCAGAATATAACCTTACTTTGACATAGGGTCATTCCGATGTATTAAAGATTACTCAAACTGGTGAGTAGTGGGGGTCCGCTATCTAATATATTGGTTTCCTTATAAGAAAAAGAAGATTGGACATAGATTTGCACAGAGGGAAGACAGGATATGAAAGACACTAAGTTGAGATCAGCCCTGTACTCCCAGAGGCAGAGATAGAGTGATGCATCTACAAAGGATAAGGAGATTGCAAGAGTGTCAAGCAAGACACTAGACACTAGAAAGGAGTCAAGGGAGGGCCACGTTGAATCCACAGGTTTCTGGGGAGGCTGAGGCAGGGTTGAATCACCTGAGGTCCAGGTGGATAGACCTGCCGAAATGTGGTAAAAACCCGTGGCTCTTACTAAAGAATACCAAAAACTAGCCGGGCATGATGGTGCGTGCCTGTAATCCAGCTACTGGGAGGCTGAGGGCAGAAGGAATCCACTTGATACCTGGTGGACGGCAGAAGGTTGCAAGTGAACCAAGAATTCACGCCATGCACCTCACCTGGGCGACAGAGGCACGAGACGCTGTATCAAAAAAAAAAAAAAAAACGAGCACAACACACAACCGCACACACAGCACACACACCAACACAAACAAACAAACAAAAGACTCTAAGGAGGATTCTCCTCTACACGTTTCAGAGGAGCACCAACCCTGCTGACATGCTCGATTAGACTTCTGGCCTCCATAATACTGATATAAGAGAAGATACATTTCTATCGTTTTAAACCACTCAGCGTTTGGTATTTCTTACAGCATTTCCAGGAAAGCTAATTTAGGTTCCTAGGGAACCCTAATATTTCTTCAATAGGGTGGATGGAAAACAAACTTGTTAAGTGCATACAATGAACTGTATAACATGGGTGAATCTCAAAGACACTATGTTAAGTGAAAGAAGGCCAGTCTCCAGAGGTTACATCCTGTATGATTCCATTTATGTGACATTCAGTTAAAGGCATATCTGGGCAGGGCGTGGTGGGTCACCCCTGTAATCACAGCACTTTATGAGGGCGGAGCAGGGCGAATCACGAGGTCAGGAGTTCGAGACCAGCCTGGCCAACATGGTGAAACCCTGTCTCTTACTAAAAATACAAAAAGTTAGCCTGGGCGTGGTGGCGGTGCTGGTAATTCCAGCTACTCTGGGGACTGGAGGAGCGGAGAATATTGTAACCCCGGGAGCGGAGGGTGGAAGTGAACCGGAGACTGCGCCACTGCACTCCGGCCCAGGCACAGTGCAAGACTCTGTCTCAAAAAAAAAAAAAAAAAAAGGCAGAACCTTACATGAGGGAAAAACAGATCAGTGTTTGGCCAGATGGGTTGGGGTGGGTTGATGGTTTATTCGAAAGGGGAAGCATAATGAGGGAAATTTTGGGACTGTGGTGATGGTTACCTAAATCTATGCATGTGTTAAAACTCATGGAACTGTTTATCCACAAAGAGTAATTTCGTGGTATGTTAATTTAGATATTTTAAAAAATGAACACACACACACATCCCCAAATAATTTTCTTCTAAGAAATACTTTAAAAGAAATTTTCCATCTGGGCCTCTGCCAGAAAGGCTGTTTCGTGGGGGCTCTGCCACACCAACTCTTGCATTCTGTGAGCCTGTTTTTCCATCTGTAAAAGTAGTGGATCTGCCTGGAGCAGATCCACTTTTTTATCCCCCTTGTCCCCATACTGTACCCTAGGCACTCCCTTTGTGGCAGTGGTGGTGTCTTGATGGATTTGGAGAGAAAAAAACACTGGGATGTCACTGGGCTCTGGACACACAGGTCTTCTCCAAATGGAGCAGTTGTACTTTTGTCTCTCTCTCTCTCTCTCTCTCTCTTTTTTTTTTGGTCTAAAAACCTCTGGATTAGAATAACTGAACATAAGCCAGAGCCCAGGTATCCAGGGAATTAGAATGATCCTGGATTCCAGGGCCTACATGTGGGGGTCACTTGTTCATCCCTTCAGCGAATGCCCTCATGCATCCTTGTAATGAGCAAAACCAGGGTGCTGGCTCTAACGGTTAGTGACTGTAAACAAGTGTTTCAGGGAAGCTGGACTTGTGCTTCTACACAACCCCTTGGATGCACATGGATTAAACACAATGGGACCTCTGTTAAAGCTCTAAATCTAGGCGCCCCCCCACCTTTGTTTTTTCTTTTTCGAGACAGAGTCTCACTCTGTCACCCAAGGCTGGAGTGCAATGGTTCGATCTTGGCTCCCTGCAACCTTCACCTCCCGGGCTCGAGTGCTTCTCTTACCTCAGCCTCCCGAATAGCTGGGACTACAGGTGCCAGCCACCATGCCCAAATCTAGGCCCATTCTAAGGTAAGGTCCAAAAGGACCTTAAGCCATTTGTTTTTAGACACTTGATGATTTTTTGGAAGAGCATTTTGTAAACAACAAAGGACTGTGCACAGAAGGGGGAAATGCCATTATGAGGATGAGTGTGCTGACCTCAAACCAGGGTCAAAGAGTATCATTGCCCTTTACTCCAAGCATGAAACCATTCATGTGCCAGGTACTGTGCTAAGGAACCCAGTCCTCACAACAACTCTATGGGAGAGAGTTGCTTTGACAGGTGAGGAAAGTGAAGCTTTGAGAGGACCCAGGTCACAATGAAAGGAGATGTTAGAGGTGACAGGGTTGGGTCATGGCCAGCAGCTCCAGCCTCTTAAGCCAAGGTTCATGAGAGGAACCCCTGAGACCTGGTGTCAGGCCTGTTCTCTCTCAGTATATGCCCTGGGAAAAGGACTAATGTCCCTTTTCACAAAGGCTGGTGGGAGATCACCAAAGACACCTTGAGACCTTGCCATCAAGTATAGCACTCAAAAAGTACAGTATTTTTAAACTTTATGGAGTGGAATGGTCTTTTAAAAAACTAGTTTTTTTTTTTTTTTTTTTTTTTTTAACTAATGTATAAATTCAATCTAGAAAACCAGAGATGGGCCACTGTGATTGAAGGCGGGCAAGAGTAGCCTGAGCCTCCTCCAGAGCTCCTGGAGCAAAGCTTGAATGAAAGTCACTTATCCACTAGGTTGGCACTTACCGGGAGAAGTGCAAGGGATGCCAAGATGTCTAAGGCTTTGACTTTGGTTTGGAAAGAACCAGGTGAGATTCTAGGGGATTCACTCCTGAGTTAGTCGGCCTCCGGCAGGGCTCAGAATTCCAGGCCTGCCACATGTATTAGGTGCTGCTGGCAGGTCTATGTGAGCTGAGCATCACTTGCCGCACCCTGGTTCCAGCCAGGCCCCAATAGCTTGACCTCACAAGATAAAAAACATTTTCACCATCTTACATTTCGTGAATTTAATTCTATTAAGGTAAGGCTTACTACATTCAAAACTCCAACCCCCTCCCTTTTTTTCTTGCCCTTTAACAAGGCACCAACCAGTTTTCTTTACCAACAAAATGTCAGTGTTCAAGTTCAGTCTTGGTGCCAGATCGATGGCAGATGTCAAGGGCTGGCCGGGATGGCTTACATTGATATCACTGCAAGTATGTCCTTCTCATAGATGTCAGGGATGTCACCTACCGGCGAGTTGATCATGCGCACGGTGTTGTTACTAAACAGCTTGAATTCGTAATTGATGAGCTGTTCCCAAAAGCCGGTGTTGGGCCGGATGATGGGGCGGCGCGACTTGGTCCATGTATGGGCGTCCAGCAGCGACATGGAGTGGTATTTCATGAGGTACGCAAGGCACAGTGAGGCGGAACGGCTCACTCCAGCCACGCAGTGCAGCAGCGTGCGGCCCTGCCTCATATCCACGCTGTGGATAAGATCAGCAATGGGGTCAAAAAAGTCGCAGAGACGAGAGTCACGAGCATCGGTAACAGGCACCTTTACGTACTGAATGCCCTCAAAGAACACGTTGACCACTTCCACCGAGGCATTGACAATGGCGGTGATGCGATTGCTGGACAGAAGGATTTTGTTGTTGGCAGCCACACCATTGCTGAGAAACAAGCTGCTGGTTATTTGGGAGAAGCTGTAGGTGGAGGGCTGCTGGAGACCCTGAGATGATGAAAAGGACGCGGATGCTGTCATCAAGGCGGCCGGTCCGAGGTCTCTCTATGCTGGTTCAGGGCACAACCCTTACCAAGCTAGTTCAGGATTGCAGCCGCGCCGTGAAGTCTCAGGCTAGGTGTTGGAGAAAGAGGACCGGCCATCGATCACCACCCTCTTCCTGTCTCCTCCCACCACTCCCATCTGGGCGTCACAATCTCGGACAGATAGCCCTGCGGCTCTGGTTTCCATGGCAATGGCCGCTCGCCGCAAGGAGGACAAGGCCTCTAAGCAGGGTCTTCAGAGACACCCCAGTCTGTTTTATTTTTATCTTTCTTCATAGTCATTTATTTTCCAAGGCCTAATTCTTATCTTTCTTGACTTTTAAAAATGTTCTGTTACAAGATATCTATTTTATGTTTCAATTATTGGACCACATTAAACACAGTATTTATGAATACTTCTATTTCATCAGTGTTGCAGAACAGGGCTTACACTTTCCCTGCAAAATAGCAGCATCACATTCTAAGTTGGGGAACAGCATTTGGCTCATGTGATACGCTAATCTCTATAAAACTGGAGCGAGATATGGGATTTGGCTGGGCTTGGTGGACTGGCCTGATATTTCTTTGTTGATTGCAACCATAAAATTATTTTCCTGCTTACAAACACATCAGGGCTGGTTGTAAGGGAGCATTGCTAACTGATATATAACCCTTTATCTTGAAGTTGGCCTGTGGTGGACAGTTGTGACTAATTTAGCTGTGTCATAGTCCGTTTGTACATACAGCTCAAATGACTGAAACAATAGTTCAAATTATTTTGTTTACTTTCTTCAAAAAGAATGCCCACATGCTTTGTGAACTACAAATCACTTTGACCACTACCGATGCTGTCTTCCCAGTAATATTACACATTCTGGAACAAGTTAATGCTACATGGTAATTGGGCCAAAAATTGAGATAGGCTTGCTCTGTCATCCAGGCTGGAGAGGCCCAGGCCTCTGCCTCCTGAGTTCAAGTGATTCTTGTGCCTCAGCCGACCAAGCAGCTGGGATTACAAGAGTGCGCCACCACACCCGACTAATTTTTGTATTTTTAGTAGAGACAGGATTTCACCGTGTTGGCCAGGCTGGTCTCAAACTCCTGACCTCAGGTGATCCTCCCACCTCGGCCTCCCAAAGTGCTGGGTTTACATGCAAGAGCCACCGCACCCAGCCCAAAAATTAATTTCTAAAATGCAACCTGACATTTGCATTTCCTTCCAGCTAAGATTTTTATAGAATTTGGCTGAAAATTGAAAAGAACTATAGCCTAAAACTAACAAATTGTTTCGCAGAGCATCCAATTGACTCACATACTTTGCTCTCATTCCATCATCATTTTGGTATGTGTTCAAAGGTGTGCTGTGATTATGAACAAAGATGAAGTAGATATCAGGCTGCTTATGATGGTCAAGGAAACGATAACCTGAAAACACAACACATATTTCTTTTTCTCAGTTGTCATAATAAAATTAATTTGCATTACTTAAATTGTCAGTCCCCACAAATCTATCTGGAAGAAAATAGAACACAAACACTAAATAAATATGAAAACTGTCTGTTGGGGACAGCTCAACCTGGCTAAGGGAGAAGCTTTGTAATCTATGTAGTAATGTGGAGGCCCTAAACTAGTATTGGTGTCTAGTTATTTCATAAGTATACACTTCTTAAACTTTAAAACTATAGAAAAATTAACAAAATAATTTCAGACACTATTTTCTTTTCTTTTTTTTTTTTTTTTGAGACAGTATACTTACTATATCACCACAATGAGAGCAATTTCAACTATGAACATAATTTAACAAAGAAAATGGTGCAATGGACTGCCCCAAGAACACACTCTCTTTCCAACCGATGGGAAAACACCCTGGATGTTAGAATTAGTTAATGTGGCCGGGCGCGCGGTCGCTCAAGCCTTATATCCCAGCACTTTTGGAGCCGGAGAGGTCGGAGGGCGGATCACGAGAGTCAGGAGATCGAGGAACCCATCCGGCTAAAAACGGTGAAACTCCGTCTCTACTGAAAAAAATCAGAAAAACTAGCCGGCGCGCCGGGGGGGCCGCCTGTCAGTCCCACTACTCGCGAGGAGGTCTGAGTGCAGAGAGAATGGCATGACCCGGGAGGCGACTGCAGTGACTGAGAATCTGGCCCACTGCGCACTCCAGCCTGGCCGGCAGAGCTAAGATCCGTCTCACCAAAAAAAAAAAAACAAAACAAAAAAAAAAGAAGAATTAGTC